AAGTGAAGTACCCCTCAAAAGGTCCGGTTTATTTCATTTTAAGGATGCGCACCAAGCACCATCTCCAGGTGCTCCTTTGAGAACCAGCGCAAAAAAGTGATGTGCACCCCTGTATATAAGTCATCATGAACACATCTGTCCATCAGACAGAGGGCTGCTGTGCCTCCTGTCATCATTAATGGACGTCTCTTTAAAATGACCGCTCAGAGGAGAGGAGTTCTCATTTCTCTAACCGCCTGCTGCTTCCCCTCCTCTCTCCTCGGTTCCCCTCCTCAGTCCTCCGCTCGCATCTCCTGTGGGCGGGACTAAGTATCGAGGATAGGAGTCGAGGAGGGGACATTTAAGAATTGAGAAACCTCTTTTGAGTTTATACGTAAGAGATTCTGCAGCTTTTACACATCCCCTTTCACCTGATGTCGTTCCTGCTCATCTGATTGGCCGTGCCGAACTCAACGTTGGCGTTGGGGATCGGCACCATGGTGGGCATATTGTTCCCACTGAAGGCATACCTGGAAACATTAAGAGCACAGAGGCTTCATTATTATTAGATTGTATATATATTAAACATTTAGAAACCATTGAGACTCAAATGCTCCTAAACGAGTCGGTTCAGTCATCAAAAAAAAATCTGATCTATCTCAATATTATGAAATTTTTATTATGTAAATGAAAAAAAGGCCCATAAGGCAGGGTAGGTAAATTGTATATTTTGCAATTTTCTTTGAGACCTATTTTAATCCTGGTTTCACTCTTATCAATTGCATTTAAATAGTATCTATCATTATTATTTGCCAATTGTTTATTCATTCTGTTGCTGTTATAACTTCATTTACAACATTTGTTCTGCTTTTTTTTCTCAGAATTAGAACAATTTCAAATTTTCTCGGAATTCTAACTTTTTCACAGAATTTGACTTTTTTTCATAATTTTCACTTTTTCTCAGAATTAGATTTTTTTTTCATATTATTTTTTTTCTCAGAATTCAAACTTACCAGAAAATATATAAATTCTTAATGTTACTCACCTGTGCAGGCTACCTGTAGTCCTAGCAAAGGTTTTTTTTTTTTTTTTTTAAAACAACCTTTTTGAAACATATTTTGCTGTTTTTGGGTCCGTATACATACATTTGCACTTCTATTTTTCGGGCTCTCCTTACTGCAATTTGAGCCTGAGTTCTGACTACAACTCATTGTTTTGGTTGAACTATTCCTTTGAATTGTGAAATGTGATGAATGCTGATGGTACTGCATGACGGAGTTGTAGTCGTACTGTGTGTTCAGGTTCAGCGTGTTTATCTTGTCGAAGGCGTACGCCCAACCTGAGATCACTGTGAAGTTAGTTGTGTATTAGATGAGTGTAAAACATGAGAGGGTTGATCAATCATCCGTTATGAATGCAACTAACAGTAAGTCAATTTAAGCATGATTTACCTTTCATCAGTGTTCAAATTAAACCAAGACAGGGACATAAATGATGGGAAAGTCACAAAAAATAACATGTTTAAGGATATTGTGTGATTATATTTGGGGTTTCTTTAGGATAAAGATGTGGACAGTTATAGATTAGTTTATTGGAGTACAGGACTAGAGTAAAGGTCTGATATAATGAACACATTATCCCTTATTACATGGTTTAGTTGATACTCGATTTAGATTGGTCAATTTGGAAATTTCAGAAGTTGTTAATACTCAATAACAGACCGCTGCTCAGCAAAATAATGACTGTTGCTAAGGAGGATCAAGGGGTAAAAGAAAATAGACCAAAAGACGGAGCGTTGGACCTCAGAGAAATCACCAGAAGAAGACAGATATGTTTTAAATCAATATTGTGAGGTGAGTCGTTGGTTTATTTAGTATGTCTAATAAGCTGCTTCTGAGCTGTTGTATTTCCATAATGACCGCCTCGCTGCACGTTATCCCTGTTATTACTGAACGTTTAGAGCATGGACGTATAAGGAGAACGGTTTAGAGGTTACAGACCGGACTGGATGTTCTCCCGCAGGATGCAGATGTGCTGGTCTCTGTCGGAGCGGCACTGCTCGTGGTTGAACTTGAGCACATGCAGCAGCTCGTGTTGAACCGTGCTGTGATACAGGCAGCCCTGCCGGTCCAGAGACACCGTCTGGGAGTAACCCCGACGCTTCAGCTGCAAAAAACACACAATTTAAAGGTCACCTATCATGCTATATCAACTTTTTCATGTCTTATACATACATATGTGTCCCCGGTGTGTTAGGGAACTCACGCAGTGTCAGTCAAATAAAACCCTCTCTCTTTTCCTCCGTACCCAAATCTCTAAAAACGGGGGAACAACGGAGCTGATCCAGATTTGTCTCCGATATGACGTAATATCGGAAATGTGGGCGGGCTTTACACACACGGCCCTATCAGAAACGTTGCTATGAGAAACAATGCGTGACAGTTTTGGACGTAATATGGTCTTTGATTATCAAGCATCGCTAACACTCTGGAGAGTACTGGAGAGAGTATGTGTAAAAAAGCAGGAAATACAAAAAAAGGATGCCTCAAAATAGTACAACAAAATTTAAGAATTTAAGAATCTTTAAGAATCATAATCAGTTTTTTTGCAAAGTAGGTTTACAAATACGAGGTTTACCCGCCGTCTGACTGGATGTTCAGGAAGTCTCTCTGGCTCGTGTGTCTGACGAAGCGAATGCAGGAAACATCGTGGAAGGAAGTCAGGCCGTGCTCGATGATGGAGCACTCAAGAAACAAAGCAGCTGTGGTTCAATGGAGGTCAAGGGTCACAATCAGGTTCTTAGACTTTTCCTCAGAGGTGGGAGAAGTACTCAGATCTGTACTTGAGTAGAAGTACCAGATTGTAGGAATACTCAATAAAAATCCTGCATTCAAAATGTTGCTCAAGTAAAAGTAGAAAAGTATTATCATCAAAATATAGTTGAAGTAGCGACAGTAAAAGTAGTCATTGTGCAGATTGGTCCATTTCAGAATAATATATGATATGTTTTATAATGATTGATCATCAAAGTGTTCTCAAAGCTGGTAAAGGTGCAGCTAGTTTGAATGACTTTGCATACTGCAGGGTAGCTTGTGAATTTACTCCAGGTGGAACTAAAGTCTGATTTAACACTTTATTATTCATCCAGATCTGTAAAGTAACTAAAGGTATTAGTACAAAGTAGCCACAAATGGCACTTAAGTAGGCTACAGACTGTTAAAGTTGATTTAAACCTGAGAGCAGGATTAGCTGAAAAGAGTCCAAGGAAACTTATTTAAAAGTTAACAGCATTTAATTAAACAAATGATACGGTGATACAAATGGAATGTGCAAGAGTGGTGCAGCTCTCCGGTTCGCGTGGGGTGCCGCTGCTTCCTCAGCTGTTGTTTATCGCGTGGCCGGGGTAGAGAGAGAGCGTTTTTTCCTGTCCTTCATATGTTATAGTCTATAGTCCCAGTAGCGTGGCGTGGGGAAAAATGTAGGGGAAGCCCATTTTTTGGGTCGGGGGGTGGTCAATAACGTAACCAGATGAGTGATTACAGCGCCCGGTATCATTTTACACACATTGGTATCACACAGATGCAGGACTTGCACACGCCTGTTATCTAACCGACAGGTCCGCACGCACTCTCCAGCTGAAACTCTCTCCTTATTAATTTAAGCATTTTACTTATTAATGTATGCAGACAATCACACAATCTATGTGATTTTTGGATTTACCGTGCCTCTCAATTGCCCGTGACAGGTTGGCAAAGTCGATGAATCCTGAAGTTGCCCAAGGATTGTTCAGGGAGCACGAATCCTTGTCAAAAAGAAGACATGGCCAGCAAATTAGACGCTGAAGTTTAGCGCTTCCAGTTAGCCACTCCGTGCGGACATAATTGTCCTCATTGAACGTCCGATTCTCTCCCTTTTTCCTCTGCGTACACACAGCTCGAGTGCGGGCATTTGCCTGTCATCTGATTTAATTTGTAGTTGCTGCTGTAGCGGAAGTTTAGTAAAGTTATGTTTGATTAAGTACGCCAAATCTCCACCCTCCATAATGCTTCATTTGCTTGATAATTTCTAACGGCGGTGATGACAGTTTCAGTATTAAAACTGATGTTGATGTGATTTGATTGGATGGCAGTGTCCAATCAAATCGCCAGCCGCCAGCCGCCTCTGAAGGGAAGCAAGAGGCGGCTAGCTTCCCTTGGCATGGCCCTGACCAATCACAGGTTGGCAGGGGCATCACGTGGGCCTCATCTGATTGGTCAATCCCTCCATTTTTTTTCACCAAGGGAAGCTAGATTCGGCTGGCCTCCTCTCGCAACAGTGAGTGCAATCTACTGTTTCACCATAACATCTAGAGGGGCGCTGTTTGTTTCACTCTTTGTAAAATACTCAATGAGAATGGGGGAGAGACGGGCCGGCAGCAACACACAGCAAAGGAGAATTATCGAAACAAAACAAAGTGTTTGTATTTATTTATTTAAATTATAACTACAATCCGAAAAAACAGGGGAAGCCTGGCTTCCCTTGGCCTCCGGGAGAAAACGCCACTGTATAGTCCTCTCCTATTGGCCGGTCTCGACGGGGGGCTGGTCTTCCTCCCAGGTTCCTTCCTCTTTGATTAATATCGCATCAAATAAGAGGATTTAGACGTTGTGTGTTTAGTGTATAACTCCACAAGCCTTTACTCCTCATATTTCTTACATGACCCATTTTCAAACCGTCTGTTCAGGGAGGAGGAGATGTTGCTGCTCTTAAACAGGGACCATAACACAGCCTTGTGAAATGTAGCTATGAATCTCCAGGTGTGTAAAGAGATGTCCTTTATGTATTGAGAGAATATTCCTACTTATGCTCAATTCACTATTTGAAAAGCCTCTTGGATCAGCTGTAAAATGCATCGTCACAAAGTTAAATAACAAGCCTCAACAGTTCTTCCTCCACTCCCTCTTGGCAAACAGCCACTGAGAGGTGGGGCCACACTGTAAGAGAAGAGTTTCAATTTCCCGGAAATGAAAGCTGTTGTTTGTCTCAGCGACAGCAGAGCAGCAGCCGAGACACGTCTCTGTTTCTCTGAAGAAACACTCAACTGAATCCAGCAGCTTTTTCTCAACAACACAGCAGGACTCTGCAAACACTGGTGAGTACACTACAGACACATCACTTACTAAACATTTAGTCAAAGTTGGATTCAAATCAGAATCTGACTGTATTACATCCATTTGACCATATAAAGAATATTATACAATATAAATGTGTCAGTTAAGATATAAACCTCAATATTTAAATTAGCAACAGCCAAAAAACAACTGCAATGTAAACTCTGATTAAGTTAGAGAGCATACAGTCAAAGCTAGCATTAGCTTTACTTATTTTCATATTTCCTGTATTTGAAAACATCTATATAATTGACTCTATTAAACAAAGTAGAATCTAAATAGTAGATTTGTTCTGGACTGTCCAAAGCAAGGGATCTGGTGTTATGTTACAAGTGTTGCTTATAAAAGGCATGACAATTACATATTTGATCTTATATAATTTGTACACACTGTGGTTAGTAGCCTTGAGCTTTGAACCTGTTTCTGTAGTAACTGCTGTCTGCCTTTTGAAGCTGATAACGTTTACTGTTTTTTTACTAGCATTAACTTCAGTGATGCTCAGCAGGAGGTTTCACTCCTCTGTTCAACAACGGCAAAATCCCCCAACAGCATTAGAGCTTACACATTGTGTTTCTTAGAGTTTAAACCGAATGCTGCTATGATTTTCCAGATGTATTTATAATATTAACAAACAGAGAGATTTTTGTAACATTTCAAAATAACAGTGAACTGCAAATTTGAGCAATCTTTCACCCTCCGCATAATCATGATACATCAGCAGAGTTCAGTATCACCATCTATTTGACTTATAGCAAACAGATACAAGAGATTAAATCATATATACATTACAGTTTTTGTTTTTTTCACACGTTTTGTCCCCAGAGAGACATGTCTGCTGCCAGCTGTCTGCTGACTGAAGATCAGTTTCTGTGCTCCATCTGTCTGGATGTGTTCACTGATCCAGTCGCCATACCATGTGGACACAACTTCTGTAAAGCCTGCATCTCTCAACACTGGGATAGAAATGTCCCGAGTCAGTGTCCCAACTGTAAAAAGGTTTTCAACATAAAGCCTGAGCTGCGGGTCAACACTTTCATCTCTGAGATGGCTGCTCAGTTCAGACAGTCAGCTCAACAGAAAGCCAGCAGCAGCAGCTCAGAGCAACAAGTTGTCAAACCAGGAGAAGTTCCCTGTGACGTCTGCACTGGAACCAGACTGAAGGCCCTGAAGTCCTGCCTGGTGTGTCTGGCCTCCTACTGTGAGACTCACCTGGAGCCTCATCTGACAGCGTCACGTCTGAAAAGACATCAGCTGATCGACCCTGAGGAGAACCTGGAAAGCAGGATGTGTGTGAAGCACGATAAACTGCTGGAGCTGTTCTGTAAGACCGACCAGGTGTGTGTCTGCATGCTCTGCACTCTTTTAGACCACAAGACACATGATGTTGTTCCTCTGAAAGAAGGATATGAAGGAAAGAAGGCTGAGCTGGGGAAGACAGAGGCTGAAATTCAGCAGATGATCCAGAAGAGACAACTGAAGATTCAGGAGATGAACCGCTCAGTGGAGCTCAGTAAGGAAGGAGCAGACAGAGAGATAACAGATGGTGTTCAGGTCTTCACCGCTCTGAAGGAGTCTGTTGAGAGAAGCCAGGCCGAGCTCATCGACACCATCAAAGAGAAGCAGAGAGAGACAGAGGAACAGGCTGAAGGCTTCATCAAAGAGCTGGAACAGGAAATCTCTGAGCTGAAGAAGAGAAGCTCTGAGGTGGAGCAGCTCTCACGCTCTGAAGACCAGCTCCACCTCCTCCAAAGCTTCACGTCCCTGAACGCTGCTCCACCCACCAAGAACTGGACAGAAGTCAGGGTCCGTCCACCTTCATATGAGGGGACTGTGGTGAGAGCTGTGACTCAGCTGGAGGAGACGCTCAGGAAACAGATGAAGAAGCTGCATGAGGTGGAGCTCAAGAGGGTCCAGCAGTCTGAGGTGGAGGTGACTCTTGATCCTGATACAGCACATCCCAACCTCATCCTGTCTGATGATGGAAAACAAGTCAACTGTGGTGATGTGAAGAAGAATCTCCCAGACAATCCAGAGAGATTTGATACGTGTGCTTGTGTCTTAGCAAAGCAGAGTTTCTCTTCAGGAAGATTCTACTATGAGGTTCAGGTTAAAGGGAAGACTGAGTGGGATTTAGGAGTGGCCAGAGAGTCGATCAACAGGAAAGGAATCATCACACTGGCTCCTCAGGATGGTTACTGGACGATATGGTTGAGGAATGAAAATAAGTACCAAGCTTTTGCTGTTCCTCCAGTCCGTCTCTCTCTGAAGTCTCAGCCTGAGAAGGTGGGGGTGTTTGTGGATTATGAGGAGGGTCTGGTCTCCTTTTATGATGTTGATGCTGCAGCTCTGATCTACTCCTTCACTGGCTGCTGCTTCAAAGAGAAACTCTACCCATACTTTGGTCCCGGTCTTAATCATGGTGGTAAAAACTCTGCCCCTCTGATCATCTCTCCTGTCAATCACACTGAGTAGAACAACCATTTGATTTTCTTCAGAAAGAGTCACTCTCACTAAATGGAATAAATGTGTTCAACTGGGGAAGTAATAATAATTCATTTATTTTATTTAGGCACCTTTCAAGGCTCTCAAGGTCGCCGTACATGTACATTGTACATCTTTTAGAATCCGGACACTTATGGGACTTTTCATGAGACGCATAAAAACACATAAAATACTGATGAGTATGTTCTAATGTAATCTAGTTTATTCTACGGATTGCACTACTTGCCGTCATGACTTGAAATGATCAGAAAACTATTTACAGAGAAATAAACTTTGCCCACTTCTTTATATGTCAGGGGGACAAGAAAAGTATTTATTGTCTCAGAAATGTGTTTTCAAAAAGTGTTTCATACTTGCACACATAGTGGAAGTACTGCACTCCTTGTTCATTAGTAAAATACTGTGTATACATATCTTTTTTTATAATTTTCAATTGAGGGGAAAATGATGGGTCCCTCTGGTTTTAAAGGGGAAGTTCAGGATTATTTATTGAATTACAGTATATTGGTACAAAATGTATTGACAGTTACTTTGAAAATCAACAATATCTGATCATTAAACATTAGGCTGCAGTGGTTTAACAAACCAGGGAAATTAAAAAGTTACATCTCAGCTGTCTGTTGTGTTATGTTAATTGTATTGCATCCACCTCTCTGCACACTGCTTGTAAAGTTTGAACAAAGCCTCAATGGATTAAAAAAAAAAGGATCAAAGAATGTTAATTTTTGTCTTTTTTTTAAATGTACAAACTGAAGTACAGTTTTCACTAGTTCTCAATTTAGGGAAAGTAGCTTAAAAAAATGTACTTAACTATTTCCATTTCTACTTAACTACATGTGTCTGATAGATTTGGTTATTCTGAAGCTTTATAAACTATTTAAAACCCTCTTGGATCAGCTGATCATAGATATTAAGATTGCTGTATATGTTTGTTAGAAATAAGGCCATCACCTGGTTAGCTTAGCTTAGCATAAAGACTGGAAACAGAGGAAGACAAAGCCAGCCTGTCCAAAGGTAACAAAATCCACCAATCAGCAGCTCTGAATCCAGTTTGTTTAATCCATACCAAATCAGAGGAGCAAAAACATCAATAAGACGTTTAACAGGGGATTATGGGTCGGGCTATTTCTTGACTGGGACCGAAACAAGTTGCCAAATTGCTTTTAAATTTCAGTTTTCATACAGAGATATATTAAGTACACTTAAATGTATATTTTGTCACTCACTATTTTCCCCTTTTCCTAGTATACATGCTAAATTAAGCTAATCTAAGTGTCTGATGGCTGCAGCCTGTGTCAGTGTGAGCGGTCTGACTGGTTGGACTGCTTCTAATGATTATGATCTCATTCTTCACCTTGAACACACTCCAGCACTGCCTGTACAGGTGAGACTAACTGACTGCAAACGTCCCGTCTGACTGGGAGATAAATAAAGGGTTTTTTAAATATCAAAATTGCATGAAATATGCTTGTAAAGTCTATTTTATTAATGCCCTGTTTATAAGATGGAGCTTATCATTTGAAATGCAATGTCATTATTTTTAACAGTACACGTTTTCTGAAACAGATGTTATAATCCTTTACGCAATCATCAATAATCACTCTATACATCTGGCTATTGATGATATATGAACAAACCACTATTTTGATAAAAAAATCAAAAAGGCCTTGTATCGTGAATTTACATTTTGCAGTACAAAATAATAATCAAGTTAAAACAAATAGTAACTCATTCATATGACCACTTTTTGTTTAAACCAAAACTGACATGTATAAGTATGGAGGCTGACAGGGGACAACGCACTTATTATAAACACGCTGCAGTTTCAAGACGATGCAAATATAAAAACACAAACCTGCCAAAACACATGCAAATGAAGAATCATCTTTACCATCTTGACAACACATGCAACGTTTACTAAAAGTAATGTCTTTCATTTTTGTAAAGCACTTTGAATTGCCTTGTGTTGAAAGGTGCTATATAAATACACTTGCCTTGCCTTGAAATATGGATAACTGGCTAGATGACATTCATTCAACATAACAATCTTTAAAGATGGTCACTGTGTAGATGACACTGAGGATGACTGTGCAAGCTGTGTTTGAAATAGTATGTGACTCTAAATGTATGATATCAGTTCTTTTTTATTGGCATTTTCTGGATTGAGGTGTACATTTGAAACTTCTCATTAAAGTAAATGCTGTTGCAAAGGATCTTCCATTTACATTCTGAGGAAAGCACATTTAGTTTGAGTGGTGATGCGTAAATACCTGTGTCATTAAAGCAGTTCTGTAAAGGTGTGTTACTACCAGGTGTTTCCATGTGAACTTTGAGGGTGTCTCGCCCCCTAGTGGACAGACGTATACACTACATGTAGTCAAGTTTTGTACTGAAGATAGATTCTCAGGTACTTTATTGATTTACCTTGAATATGTTTTTTTGTATTAATTTGTCTTTTAAATAAAGTATACTGTAGTTGCATGGAGAAAATACCCTTTTGTTCATTCTCTCCATCGTTGTTAATTCATTAAAAGCAGAGCGTCTTTAAGCAACGACCTGCAGAGTGAACGCTTCATTTCAAATTATTGAATAATTTAATCAATATCAACATTAAACATTCAAACACCTTCTTTTTTCTTTGGATTATGCAGCCTGATATCCGCTAACAGTGTCAGCGAGAAAGATGTGGAAAATCAGCTTCACATTATTGAGGTTTTAATAAAGAAATACCTTTTATTTCCTCGATTGGAGAGTTAATGTCCTCTTTGAGTTCTAGTCAACAAGACTAAGAGATAGAATAAATGATGCCGAAGCCACAAACACTCAATATGGTGTGTGTGTGTGTGTGTGGGTAGGTAGGTAGGTAGGTAAACAAACTCCTCTCTTGATAAGACAGTCTCACTTTGATGCCAGGTGCTGTTTCCCATGAGAGAGAGTGGAGCGTGCCACAGGGGAAATTATACTCTTTTTTAAAGTTAGTAATTTAATTTATATTAAACAATATTTCTTAGCAAAGGAACTGTTAGCATATTAGATTATAAATATTTTTATTTTTATTTAACCAGATAAAAAGCATTGAGATACAATCTCATTTACAATGCTGACCTGGCCAAGAAGGCAGCAACACATTCTTACACACAACACAAACATATAAAATACAGAGAACACAACTAAGAAACCAAAAGACGAAAAAGCAGTCACTACATTGTGCACAGTAAGAAAGGTACACTACTTATTACTGCAAGAGCAGCTGGTGGTAAGGACTTCAGACAACTTCAATTTAAAACAGGCTATTGGGACAAGTGCCCTCAGTTCGAAAATGATACATACTTTTGACTCGAAAACGATTATTTTGTCAGCTTCAGTTACTTGAATACAAGATCAACAAATTATTGTTGATGATTTTTAATGGGTTTGTTTTTTAAAACTAAATAAGCTCCAGTTTTACCACCTGCGTAATTTAAGTAAAGAACATCTGCACGGACCAATAATCCAATAACATGAAATATACCTTTATGCATCAATATGTACTTTTGGTAAGTTAAGTTGGTTTTAATGCTAATGGTTTGAAACACAGACACTAAAAAGCAATACGAGTTTGAGTTCATACGTAAGAGATTCTGCAGCTTCTCCTTTCACCTCTTCTTCACACCTTTCGTCAAACTGAGGTCGTAGAATTTAAATTAAGGAACATTTTCTAAAGTAAAAAAGTGTTAACAAGTGCACAAACTACAAAATACACTTCATCGAACATGTTTGAAGATTTATTATCAACACACTTTCTCAGTCTGTGCTATAAAGAGCTGGTTTGATGTTTTAAAATGGCCCCATGTCCTCAGGGTTTCTGCACCCCCTGTTGGAACAGAAGAAACACGTTAAAGACACACTTTCCTTTGACCTGAAAGCAGATGAATGAAGGGAGCCCAGCGTGTGTTTTCTTACCTTTCGACATTTGTACAGCGTGTTCAGTCTGCTGATGTCGTTCCTGCTCATCTGATTGGCCGTGCCGAACTCAACTGGCATTTGGGATCGGCACCATGGTGGGCTTATTGTTCCCGCTGAAGGCATACCTGGAAACATTAAGAGCACAGAGGCTTCATTATTATTAGATTGTATATATATTAAACATTTAGAAATCATTGAGACTCAAATGCTCCTAAGGCGGTGTTCACACGAGGCCGTAACGGAACCGCGGAAACGGACCCCGCAAACGATAACGGGTCCCAAGGTGGATAGATCTGCAAACGGAACTCTCTGGGGGGGCAATTGGCTCAGTTTGTACGCCCTATACGATCATTTTCTGATAATGATTAAGCCCCGCCTCTCCCCACCTCTGCTGCTGCTGACCATGCTACAGATGTTAGTGCAAAATCTACAGCTCCTCTACCACAACCATCAGCAACAAGTGGACATGGAGAACTACATGAACTACATGTTGCTAAATCCACCGCGGGGCATAAACAGAAGGGCAACCATGCTCGTTGGTCTTCTTCGCTGCTTTTGGTGTAATTTGTGGCAGAAGTACAGCGCCACTTACAGGCCCGGCATATGTACGACTTTTTTGATAACAAATTCGGTCCGTTTGCGCTCCCGTGTAAATGGGGTCTAAAGGCTGTTACACACCGAGCCGATTATCAGCGTCGATAGATGTTGGGCCGTCGATGAAAGTCGTGTCGCCCTACTCAGATTCGTGTGTACTGCACCGTCGTGTATTTTCGGCCGTGCCGACACCTACCGCCGCCGATTCGACATGTCGAATCAGTAGGCCGTCGGCCAAGAAATCACTCCGATTGATTCAATCAAGCGAATCAATGCATGAGAAGAAAGAAGCTAAACGGAAGTGAGGGACCGAAAAAAGAAGGCAAATCTGAGATTTCATTGAACTCCAGCTCTCGACTCAGGTTCGGGAAAGCCCCATGAGCTTCTCGCTGTAGAGTGAAAATGGAATGCACACGCTATTTGTTGTTTGTTTATATCACGCAGTCTGTTCTTCTTCTCTCGGTGTATCACGCAGTCTGTCTTCCGGTTGTTGCCTCTTTTGAATGAGGAATACACACTACCGCCGCCTGCTGGTAAGGAGAGTTATTGCCACTCACGCATGCGCAGTTCGTACGTGCTACTTGGCCGTCGGCTGAAGTCTTTGCGGTGTGTTCCAGTGCGACTCTTTGGCCAAGACGCAGGAGAGGTGAGGCGACGTTCCGTCGGGACGTGTTCTTTGGTGTCAGTTTGGTGTGTAAGAGGCTTTAAAGAGTCGGTTGAGTCACCAAAACAAATCTGATCCATCTCAATATTATGACGACAAATGTATTATGTAAATGAGAAAAAGGCCCATAAGGCAGTGTAGGCAAATTGTATATTTTTCATTTCTTTTGAGAGCTTGCCATCTATTATAATCCTGGTATCACTCTTATGTTATGCATTTAAATATTATCTATCATTATTATTTGCCAATTGTTTATTCATTCTGTTGCTGTTATAACTTCATTTAGCTGCTTTGTATAATAAAATAAAAATAAGAGATGGGCTGGAATATTCAAACATTTTTCAGCTTTTTTTTCAGAATTAGAACAATTTCAAAATGTTCTAGTTCTAACTTTTTCACAGAATTTGACTCTTTTTCATAATTTTCATTAGATTATTTTCTCATATTTTAACTTTTTTCTCAGAATTCAAACTCTTTAGCAGATTTTGGCTTTCTTCTCAAAATTTCACTTTTTCACGATTATATATGTTTTTCATAATTAGATTTTTTTCTTTCTCAGAATTCAAATTTACCTGAAAATATATATATGCTTAATGTTACTCACCTGTCCAGGCTACCTGTAGTCCAAAGGTTTATTTTTACAAGTAAAAATTGAGCTTTTTGAAACATATTTTGCTGTTTTTGGGTCCGTAGAAATTCATTTGCACTTTTATTTCTTGGGCTCTCGTGATTGCAATTCAAGCCTCACTTCTGTCTGCAACTCATTGTTTTGGGTGAACTGTTCCTTTGACATATATCCATTATGTTAGTTTATAAATGATTATGAATGCTATATTGTGTTGTTTAAATCTGCAGGGTATCTTCCAGTCGTCTCATTAATAAATGTCAGACTTGCAGTGTGGTATAAAAGGCAAAATAACAAAAGTGAGTCTCTTTCTCTTTTCTGACTTTTTTTATGGGTATTTTTTTATATTAAATACATAACAATAACAGTGCAGAACATCTAACCTCACTATGAATCCAGAACAATACACCTGCAGGAGTATGGATAAAGCGAGAGGTTTGCATGCATTTTGAGCCGATTTGGGCAGAATCCAGCAGAGTGGATCGTGCTGTTCATCCTATGTAATCTATATGTAAAGAAACAGGTCTAAATATTTAAAGATAAAGCTGTGAAACAATCTCAATAATTGGCAGCATGTTGAGATAGGAAGTTTTAATATCTTAAGAGAAGAGCTCTTTTGGCTCCTTCCTGTCTTTCTACTGGGTCTTTCGTGGCTTTGTACTGGCTATCTTCTAGCTCTATTCAGGTTTCTGGATTTTTTTCTAGCTCTATCCCTGATCATTTTCAGAACCTGAAGGCTCTATACGGACTATCTTCTGGTTCTCCTCTGGATCCATCCACTATCTCTTGTCTCTGTCCAGTGAATTACACTTTTGTTACTGGAGCAGGTAAAGCATACAACAGATACTTTCAGCATCATCGGAGCACAAAGTGGAAGCTTGGATGAAACACAGCGGACTTCTAAAGAATGAACACCCGCAACTTAGAAGAAATAAAGCTGGATTTGATGTATTCTAATATTGCAATGCAAACCCATGATGTAATGACAGTAATTAAGAATAATTTAGTTATTGAATGCCCATTTCAGTAGATTTAATCAAACAAAACATGAACATATTGAACATGGCCTCAAGACTGTAACCTCTTCACATTCTGTTGAAATAGTAAATTACTAGCCATATCTTACACATTGCTGTTTTGAATCATTAATATGTGGATGACAGTTGAACTGGATGATGCAACATGTATGCCACCTGCTGGAAAGAAGACGTATTGCTCTGTTGGCGTCATTTGGACAACACAAACAGAGTTAAACTCACATTTCATAAACAATCTTTGAGTACAGACACCGTCCTGCAGAGAGCACACAACCCAACAGCACGTTTTTGGTCTAGCATCACTTTACAAAACGTTTGCATTAAGACGCTAAGACTAGCTGGTCCATTGTAAAGGTCAGTCCACCTTAAATGATCAGCAGGTGAAAGGCAGGACACGGGAACTTGGTCCTGAGGAGATGTAACGATTATTAAACAAGAAAGTTGTCGAGTCAAGGGGTCAAAGAAATGAACTTTTGTGATTATTAGCGAATCGGTCGCAGGTGGGTGAAATCAGGCTTAGGGAGTAACTAAAACCAAAACTAAGGAGCTCATTGTTGATTTCAGGAGGACAAAAAAGGAAGTCCCACTAAGGACAAAACTGAAGACCATGGGAGACCGAGCCTTCTGCTCCGCTGCTCCGAGACTGTGGAATGCCCTCCCGAACCAGCTGAGGACAACACAGACTGTAGATGCTTTCAAAAAAGGGTTTAGCCTTTAACTAGATTTTTAAAGTCCATCTCCCCCTCCACAGAGAAGCAGTGGAGAGCGTGGAGGACCTACGGTTCCTTGGAGTAAACATCTCCAATCATTTAACTTGGACCTCAAACCTGGTGAAAAAGGCACAGCAGAGACTGTTTTTCCTGAGGAAACTGAGACAGGCCAGACTTCCACAAAAACTGCTGGTAAACTTCTATTGGTCGACTATTGAAAGCACCCTGACCCGCTGAATAACTGTGAGGTACACCAGCTGCGCAGCCGCAGAGTGGGACCTGCAACGGGTGGTGAAGGCTGCTCAGCGCATCGTTGGGACTGAGCTGCCCAACCTTGACAACATCTACAAAAGTCGACTGCAGAAGAAAGCCAGCAGTATCATATGAGACATCAAACACCCTGGCCGCTCACTGTTCGGCCGGACGGCAGCGGTTCGAACCGTCTGTTCAGGTCAATACAATCAAGCACCAACAGATTGAAGAACAGCTTCTTTCCCAGAGCTGTGGCCTCCATCACTCCCATCCCTGTCCAACCACAAAACTCACTATAACTTTGAACATGCACACATACAAACACACTACCTCCCATCAAAGACTGCAGCCAAAAATATCATGTTATTTATTTGTATATTTATTAAGTATCAAATTATAGCTTTTCTTTATTAAATAATCTTTAAAAATGTGTTTTAACATTCTGGTAAAGTGCATTTAAGTGATGACCCTGATTATTGCTACTATCTCTGCTTTATCACTGCTTTTATGGATGTGTTCTTATTTATGTACTGCAGTGAGAGAAGCCAAATTAATTTCGTTACACTGATGTGTGATGACAATAAAGATATTCTATTTTAACGTATTATATGAAACGGCATTAGGTCATCAGGATACAAAATAGGAAAATGTGCTCCCTTACAGAACCAAAAACAATCAGATAATAGGTATATTTATGTAAAAGAGGGATCGTTAACAGGATAGCAATGATAAAAAAACATTTAGAAATAAAGAACAATACATCAAATCATCCTATATCTGTATATGGAAACTTCGAGCCCTCAATCCACAATGAAATGGTTCATCAACAGTCAGTGGTTAACGTATAAATCAGAATGACAAAAACATATTGTCCACTTATGCTAATAAAGATGGAGTTAGTTTAAGTCTTATGTTAATGTTGTGCAATAATGTTGATCCAGTCAGGCAGATTTTTCTCATGTGTGAACTGTCATAAGACATATTCACTGTCCTCTCCATCAGCTTCTGTGTGTTCAGCTGAGCTGCTGATTGGAGGCTCTGCCTTACTATTATCCTCAGTTTGAATTTCATTAAGCTTTGAGGACTGACGACCAACACACTCGTGTCTATTTAAACAATTAAGCCATTTAAATATTTTGTCACAAACATTGCAGCTGTATATTTCCTCTCCTGTGTGGACTCTCATGTGTTGCTTTAAAATTCCACTCTCTGAAAAAACGTTCTTACAGACTGAGCAGCTAAAGGGTTTCTCTGCTGTGTGGACTCTCATGTGTTTCTTTAAACTTCCACTCTCTGAAAAAACGTTCTTACAGACTGAGCAGCTAAAGGGTTTCTCTGCTGTGTGGACTCTCATGTGTTGTTTTAAATGTCCACTCCGTGAAAAAGCTTTCTTACAGACTGAGCACCTGTGTGGTTTATCTCCTGTGTGGATTCTCATGTGTCTCTTTAAATGTCCATTCTTTGAAAAAGCTTTCTTACAGACTGAGCAGCAGCATGGTTTCTTTTCAGCACTACGTCGTGGATCACTGACGGATTCATGTCTATTTTTCAGTGAGTTTGAGCCTGATGCAGGTTCTCTGGTCTCCTTCCAATCAGCACTGTCTTCAGTGTCAGGTTCAGAAGAGTCTTCAGGGTCGTCCTCAGTCTTTGGTTGTAAACTGCTCTCTGGATCTGAGTTCCTGGCTGGTTCTGGTCCTCGACAGTCATCTCCATCAGCTTCTGTCTCCATGTGTTCAGCTGAGCTGCTGATTGGAGGCTCTGCTTCTCTGTTATCCTCAGTTTGAATTTCATTAAGCTTTGAGGACTGACGACCAACACACTTGTGTCTATTTAAACAATTAAGCCATTTAAAGCTTTTGTCACAAACATTGCAGCTGTATATTTCCTCTCCTGTGTGGACTCTCATGTGTTGCTTTAAACTTCCACTCCGTGAAAAAGATTTCTTACAGACTGAGCAGCTAAAGGGTTTCTCTCCTGTGTGGACTGTCATGTGTTTCTTTAAACTTCCACTCTCTGAAAAAACATCCTTACAGTCTGAGCAGCTGTATGGTTTCTCTCCTGTGTGGACTCTCATGTGTTTCTTTAAACTTCCACTGTGGGAAAAATGTTTCTTACAGACTGAACAGCTA